ACAGCTAATATCATTCTTAATGGTGATCAACTGAAAGCCATCGCCCTAAGAACAGGAACCAGACAAGGATGCCCACTTTCATCACTCCTATTTAACACAGTATTGGAAGTCCTAGCCAGAGCAGTCAGGCAAGAAAAAGAAATAAAAGCAATCCAAATTGGAAAGGAAGAAGTGAAACTGTCACTATTTGCAGATGACATGATTTTATATATAGAAAACCCTAAAGAATCCACCAAAACACTTTTACAAATAATAAATGAATATGGTAAAGTTGCAGGATACAAAATCAACATACAAAAATCAGTCGCGTTTCTACACACTAACAATGAAGTAGCAGAAAGAGAAATTAAGAATAGAATCCCACTTACAATTGCAAAAACAAAGATAAAATACCTAGGAATAAACAATCAAAGAAGTGAAAGATCTGTACACTGAAAACTATAAAACATTGTTGAAAGAAATTGAAGACAAAGAATGGAAAGATATTCTGTGCTCTTGGATTGGAAGAAGTAGCATAGTTAAAATGTCTATATTTCCTAAAGCAATCTATAGATTCAATGCAATCCCTATCAAAGTCCCAACAATATTTTTCACAGAAATAGAACAAAGAATCCTAAAATTTATGTGGAAAAGCAAAAGACTCCAAATAGACAAAAGAATCCTGAGAAAAAAAGAACAATGGTGGGGGTATCAAACCCCTGATTTCAAAGTATACTACAAAGCTATAGTAACCAAAACAGCATGGTACTGGCACAAAAACAGACACACAGATCAATGGAACAGAATGGAGATCCCAGAAATAAACCCACACATCTATGGACAGCTAAATTTTGACAAGGGAGGCCAGAACATACAATGGAGAAAGGAAAGTCTCTTCTATAAATGATGCTGGGAAAACTGGTCAGCCACATGCAAAAAAATGACAGTAGACCATTATCTTACACCACACACAAAAATTAACTCAAAATGGATTAAAGACTTGAATGTAAGACCTGAAACCATGAAACTTCTAGAAGAAAACATAGGCAGTATGCTCTTTGACATCAGTTTTAGCAAGATATTTTCAAATATCATGTCTGACCGGGCAAGGAAAACAATAGAAAAAATAAACAAATGGGACTACATCAAACTAAAAGGCTTCTGCACAGGAAAGGAAACCATCAACAAAATGAAAAGACAACCTAACAATTGGGAGGAAAGATGTTTGCAAACCATATATCTGACAAGGGGTTAGTATCCAAAATATATAAATAACTCATACATCTCAACAATAAAAAACTAACAACCTGAGTAAAAAATGGGCAAAAGACCTGAACAGACATTTCTCCAAAGAAGATATACAGACGGCCAACAGGCACATGAAAATATGTTCAACGTCATTAACTACCAGGGAAATGTAAATCAAAACTACAATGAGGTATCACCTCACTCCCGTCAGAATGGCTATAATTAACAAGACAGGAAACAACACGTGTAGGAGAGGATGTGGAGAGAAGGGAACTCTCATACACTGCTGGTGGGAGTGCAAACTGGTTGCAGCCACTATGGAAAACAGTATGGAGATTCCTCAAAAAACTAAGAATAGAGCTACCATATGATCCAGCTATTCCATTGTTGGTATTAATCCAAAGAACATGAAAACATGACTGCATAAAGATACATGCACCCCTATGTTCATTGCAGCCTTATTCACAATAGCCAAGACTTGGAAGCAACCTAGGTGCCCATCAAGGGATGAATGGATAAAGAAGATGTGGTATATATACACAAGGGAATACTATTAAGCCATAGAAAAGATGAAATCCAGCCATTTGTGACAACATGGATGGACTTGGAGGGTATTATGCTAACCGAAATAAGTCAGAGGGAGAAAGTCAAATACCGTACGATCTTACTCATAAGTAGAAGATAAAAACAACAACAATCACATAGAGACAGAGATTGGATTGGTGATTACCAGAGGGGAAGGGGGGAGGGAGGAGGGCGAAAGGGATGATTAGGCACATGTGTGTGGTGATGGATTGTAATTAGTCTTTGGGTACTGAACATGATGTAATCTATACAGAAATCAAAATATAATGATGCACACCTGAAATTTATATAATGTTATAAACCAATGTTACTGCAAAAAATAATAATAAAATAAAAACCTGAAAAAAATAAAGAACCTATATTTTACAGCTTAATAGAATGCAAAATGAGAATAAAATTGGGAATGCAAAATGGTTCAGTCATTATGGAAAACAGTTTGTCATTTTCTTGTCAACTCAAACATACATGTACCATACAACTGAGCAAGTTCACTCTGACGTATTTACCCAAGTGAATAGACAATTTATGTTCCCTCAAAACCCATTCATGAATGTTTATGATGACTTTTTTCATAATCGACAAAAACCAAAAAAACATCACAAGTATCTTTCAACTGGTGAATGGATAAACAAACTATGATACATCCATACAATTGGATACTACTCAGTAATAAATGGCAACAGACTACTAATAAATAGACACAATATGGATGAATCTCAAACATATTATGGTAAGTGAAAGGAGCTAGACTTCAAATGTATCGCACCATTTAATGAAATTCTGGAAAAGGCCAAAATAATAACGACAGCAAATAGATCAGACAGTTGGCAGGGGCTTGGATGAGAGCAGGGTATGATTACAAAAGGGGACCAGAGAATGTGTGGGGTTGATGAAACTTCCATATCTTGATTTTGGTGGTGGTTACATGACTATATACATTTGTCAACACTTGCAGAACTGTAAACAAAGAAGATGAATTCTACTGTATGAAAATTACACCTTAATAAAAAGGAAAAAATATAGGAAATGATAATTTTAAATAAGTTAATAAGAGATTTTTATATTCTGCTTCTGTAGCCTTCTTTAAGTACCAACAATAAAATTTCACTTCCATCTTGTTATGTTTACCAAAAATTTTAGTTTTACTTTTAAAAATACAAATATATTTATTCTTTTCACAATGAATTAAACTTGCAAACTTATTTATTGAATCAACTTCTGTGTTCACCATTGCTCCCTGTATTATATATATATATTCCCAAGGGGTCACTTTTTATCTTGCTGAAATTATTTTACTGGTGGTCATTGGCAGTAAATTCTTTTAGTTTTTTTTTTAATTTGTTCTCACTCCTTATGAAGGTTTAGCTGTGCATAGAATTCTAGGTATGCAGTTATACTCCCTCAGCAGTTTTGAAGGTATTTCTCTCTTGTCTTATTACTGCCATTGCAAGTCCACTATAATCTCACCATCTTTACTTAGTGGTTAATCCATCTTTTACCTCTAGGGGGCATTTAAAGATTTTCATTAACATTGACATTCTACAGCTTCAGTACCATCTGTGTTTCTTTTTATTTTTCCTGCTCAATACTTGGAAAATTGTCCACCAGCTCTTCAAATATCACTGGTAGCAGACAACAGTAACACCAAGACACACATGCTCATGCACAGGACACACCGGATTGCCAAAGGTCGATGAAGAAGATCTTGTAATTACAGACTTCGCAGAGCACAGTCATACAGAATTGGAAATAGTCCAGGCTAAGAGGATCATAAAAGAGGCCAGGGGGAGGAATGTGGAAGGAGTGTCCCACAGATGCCACAAAACCCACCTTATGATCTGTGGAAGAAGGCTGACCAGGAAAGGGGCCCTCGCCTCCTGGTCTATTTAGTCAGCAGTTTAGAAATGGGCCATAACTACCTCCCTTAGGGTGAGATAGAAACCTAGAGTCTCGAAGCTCATTTAGTGAGAGAAGAGAGCAGGGATACCAGACCAGGAAATATGCCCAAGAGGATTCATTAACATCCTGTTTCCTGGACCAGCATTTCCAGGAGAGGCCATTTCAGCAGAGAAGATAAATCCCTCTGAACTTAGGAGAATAATAAAGGAGAAAGGGTGGGGTCACCGGATGAAGAGACAGAGCAGCCTCCCCCATGATGGGGCCCTGGCTCACTGTTGCCGCAGAGACAGTGAGGCCAGGCAGGGCAGGGTCTCCCTTGGGCAGCTCTTCCAATATCTACCTCCTCCAGATTCCTGCTCATCTTTGCTCCTAGACCCTAGCAAGAGTAAATGAACGGCTGAGTATCAGGACCCAAGAACCCAGTCTGACAACAGCTGCAGAGCTAGATGGGCTTCCTCTCGAGGAAACTGTGTGACAGAAACAGTTTCTCCTAATTCTCCTAAGGTGTGAGAACAGGAAATCATCTTCCTGTTCCATAGAAAGGACCCAAGGACTGTAGTAGCTCTCTGTGTGTATCTACAGCATCTCCAGAGAAGATATGCAGAGCAGGTGGGGCCCTGATACCTGTCTTGTTCAGATTCCTCAGACTCTTAATTCAACTTAGCAAAAATTAAGTAAATTGGATACTGCTGGAAAAGTCCTATCTTCCTTCCCCATTTCTGCAAGAACATCCTTGACTCTGAAACAAACCCCAGGGCAGCCTGTATGGTCAGGCAGCTGGGCTTCTCATCACCTGAGGTAAGAACTTTGTCTCTCTTTAAGGGAAGTGTGCAGCCTCTAGGAATGGTGAGCTGAGAAACAGAGCCCAAAGCAGACCCTAAGAACTCAAGCTACTCTGTGTCCAGCTTCTCTAGTGCTTTGGGGTCTATACCCATCCCAATTCCCTCTATTCTTGGTCTTCTAAACACAAATGAAATCAGTGAGAATGATGAAAGGGTCCATGCTACATCCCAGGCCTGGGTACGTGCTTCCTGGTTGAAGTATCAGTAACCGTCTTTAGACCCTGAGGGGCTTTGCTGCCCTCTGATAAGGCATTTCTGCACCTATCTGATAATAAATTCCTCCAAGGGGCCATCTAAGAGCAGATGATAAGCCTGTCATATGCTCTAATACCTTTTTAACATTAAAATCCTGTGGGCCCAGAAGAGATCAGTAGAAACCAGCGAAATGCCAAAATATAGAAGCCACATTATAGGGAAATGATTTAGAGAAAGATGCTTCCCTTACAGCTTCTTGAACACATGTTCAGAGTTGGCTTTATCTGTCCAGTGACCGTGACACATGACACTGATTTCTGTCGATCTCAGGTCCCTGTCTCCTCTGGCTTCTCTCTGGGGTTAGGTACCACACTCCAACAGCAGCTTCCAGAACAGGAGCTCTTTCTCCCTGTCCCTGTGGCCCTTCAATCCAGTGTGGATACTCTGGCCCTGCAGGAGAAAGAGTGGAGATCTGGGTCAGATGCAGGAGAAGGAAGATAGGATTTTTGAGCCTAAATACAATATTCAGCACATGCTCTTTTGTTGCCTATGCCTTTCACCATTTCTCCCAAACAAAAACACTCAGATATTTCTGGGTAGGACCTTGTCTGCTATATTTCTGAGTCCCCCCAGGCTCACATTTTGTCATAACCTGTTTAAAAAAAAAAACCTATGTTTGCATTGATCCTGAAGGTTTACCTCTAAAAGCACCATCATGTCAAACACACCACCTCCTAGTCTCAGACGGTCTAGAATCCCTTCTCTCTCAGGTCCATGGAGAGTGTGGGGCTGGTCCAGAGAGGTGAACACGCTAAGGTGGACATACTTTAGCTCTTCCAATGAGGCTTGTCTCTACAGCCTCGAGTGCTGCAAACAAATGTGGACATAAATTATATGGAAAATGAAGTGGAATGCTTTATTGAAATCACATTTCTATACCTGTTTTAGAATTTCATATTCAAAATAGGTCTATGCAGAACACTAAGTGGGTATTTAAATCATTAGTCATACATTATACTTAAAAGATAGGTGCAAGAATAATCAAGGGCATGGGTACCAGGACATTGCTTTCCTGTTAAGACAGAGATGATTTCATCTTTCCAGAAAGATATATGTTCAGGTTTGGTATCCTGAATAGTATTTTCATGTAGTGATCGCTTAATGTGTGATGGCTGTTGTCCACTTAGATGATTCTTTTATCAAGAAACAATTAAAAGAGACAGAAACTCTGAGATCAAGAGGTCAAGTCGGTTATCAGTGAGAAGGGCATCACCTCACTGGATTCGCATTGCCATCCTCAGGGGCCTCTGATGTTTTAAAAGTAGGGGACCATTTCAGCAAATATTCACTGAGAATCCATTTGGTTCTAGGCAAATAAAGACACAACACAGAATGGAGCACTGGAACTCCACTCTGGAAAGTGGCTTCATATTGATGGGGATTCTGAATGACAGTGGGTCTCCTGAGCTGCTCTGTGCCACAATTGCAGTCCTGTACATGTTGGCCCTGACCAGCAATGGCCTGCTGCTCCTCGTCATCACAATGGATGCCCAGCTCCACGTGCCCATGTACCTCCTGCTCAGGCAGCTCTCACTCATGGACCTCCTCTTCACATCTGTTGTTGCTCCCAAGGCCATCGTGGATTTTCTGCGTAGTGAAAATACCATCTCCTTTGGGGGTTGTACCCTTCAGATGTTCCTGGCACTGACGCTGGGTGGTGCAGAGGACCTCCTACTGGCCTTCATGGCCTATGACAGGTATGTGGCCATTTGCTATCCTCTGAACTACATGGTCCTCATGAGGCCCAGGGTC